CCATTATCAGGTAAATTTGGACTTGTGGTTCACCATATCAAAAAGTTTGGGAACCACTGCTCCAGAGCACTATATGCCAGGTTGTATTTGACTATAGAGCTCAATAGTTAAAAGTCCCAGGAGGCACGAGGGTGAGGGGAAAGATATACACTAATAAATAACAACAACAATAATAACTAACAGGTAACTACTACTAGACAAATAACAATAATAAATACAGTGGAACCTCGGGTTAAGAACTTAATTCGTTCTGGAGGTCCATTCTTAACCTGAAACTGTTCTTAACCTGAAACACCACTTTAGCTAATGGGGCCTCCCGCTGCCGCCGCACGATTTCTGTTCTCATCCTGAAGCAAAGTTCTTATCCCGAGGTACTATTTCTGGGTTAGCGGAGTCTGTAACCTGAAGCATCTGTAACCTGAAGCATCTGTAACCCGAGGTACCATTGTAACAGGTAACTACTGCTAGAGTCTGATAAGCCAGGAAAGTCTAGATACTATCAGAACACACATATGATTCACTGGATCCCATGTCATGCCTTTTTTAAAAAAAGCTGACAAGCCTAACTAACTGTGAACTGCATCCTGCTTCCAACTTCTATCCGCCTCTTTAAGGATTACAAGCCATAAATCCCTAAACATTAACTGTCATTCCTGCAGATACCTTCAAATGACAGTCAAGGTATTACAGCACACAGCAATACAAAGGACTTCCTGTATGTTTATGAACTGCCTGCACTTTCCCTCATATTCTCAGACAGAGAAATGGGGGAGAAAATCTTCTGCAGATGGGCAGCATGCCATTCACATTCAGAAGCCATGGTGGCTTTGTACAGATCTCCCTTCTGTACCAAATTCCAGGCCAAAACTATATATATGCGGAAATGGGCCAAACTGCACTATTGTATGTTCTAAACTCTGCTAGTCTGCTAGAGTGTAAACCTGCACTGCTATCAGCCTTTCCATCATCACCTTGGATCTAATGACGAACCCTGCATGAAGGAACCAAAGAAGATGAAGACTCAGGCTTGTACCATTGTCATGCACCATAATCAATTAGGTCACACAACATTTTCTCCCATCCTCAAAACCAACTAGATATCTATGGAGCAGCATTAGAAATGCCCTAGGTGCCAGGTGCATTTTGCAACTGGTACAGGTCCAATTAGATTTCTAGATGCCAGATGGGTGACTGACATCTCCATCTGGCGGGCCAGTCTAGCTTTCTAAGCAGGTAAGCAGAAGAGCTTATTTAATGCATTTATAGCCCACTTTTTTCTCCATGGAGTACATGGTTACCCCCCTCCTTCAGTTAATCCCTACAACAACCCTGTGGGGTAGGTTAAGAGGCTGTGACTGGCCCAAGGTCACCAAGTGAGCTTCATGACTGAGTGGGGATTTGAACCCTGATCTCCCAGGGCCTAGTCCAACACTCTAACCACTACACAACACTGGCTTCCTAGAGTACTTCTGCTATGGGGCATCTCTATAAATTAAGTAGGTAAATATGGGGAAAGCAGAATGTCACTTCAAGAAGTCCGTAATATTTTTGTTGAAACTTGAATTTGATTTATTCTGGATTGTTTTATTTGATGTTTTAATGTGTCGTGAACCACTTTGAGATTTTTTAATTTAAAATATAAAGCAGTATAGAAATGAAATTATTAATAATTACTAACAACAACTTTCAGTGGAAAAAATGGTGCCTATACATTTTGTTGTGGTGACCATAACCTAGGTTTAAGATGCTATTTGGCAATTAGCTTATACAGTGGTACCTCTGGATACGCACACCTCCAGCTGTGTATCCTTCAGGATGCGAATGTGGCAAAACCAGAAGTATTTTTTCTGGGTTTCGCCACGCACACATGCACAGAAGCAGTCCCTCCGGTTGCAGAAACTTCGGGATCTGACCAGAGCTCCGGAAGGGATCCTGTCTGCAACCGGAGGTACCACTGTAAATCTGAGTTTCTAACACTGCTACAGAGGAAACTTTTATTAATTACTATTTTATTTTATCACACTCATTTTAAAGTTTGCTTGATATTTGTTTTACTATTATATACAAAATGAATAATTTGTACTCAAAGCTAGAGTAAGTTACATTTTGTTGTTAAGTAACTTTGAATAACCTTTGAAAAAGTGTGATATAAAAAGTTAAAAGCGTATTTTTAAAATGGAAAGCTTAGGCCTCAGTTACATTAGCAGATCACACATATCTGCACAAGTTTGAGACAAACGTTAACTTCTGAATAGAAAGGTACAATGAATGAGAATTCAATCCTGCCTGTGTCAGGAAGTGACATCTGACTGTGAAGCCCCAAATTCCAGGTACCAGTATGTAGGTTCTGGTTGTGGCTACTCATGGTGACAGAGCAGGCTCTGACCCAGCCCAAAAGCACTCTTCTGTATTATTCATTCACATATTTGAGATATTAAGATGTTGTTTTCAAACCCTCTAGGCAAAAGGCAAGAGGACCACTGACCTAAAGGACTTACAAATTTAATGAAACTAGACAAAATTCAATTAAAAATGGATTTCAAGCATCCACCTATATAAACTGGAAGAACTTTCACAAGAGGCAGAGGTAATCACAAACAGATTTCAAAGTAACTATTCAGATTTTCAAATTGTTTTTCAATTCTAAAGACCATTATTCTGATCCCTCTGCCTTAGACACATTACTTTTTAAAAACCCTAATTAAATAAACATGCAAAGAACCAGCATCATCTCCAATTATCTTTCATTATTGCTTAGGCAATTTCACCTATAACCATTATTTTACACCAAGCCTTTTTAGACTTTTGGGCCATGATCCTAAACAGACTTGTTTTACTTTTGAGTTAACATGCATAGATTATGGAATTAAAACTCAAAATCCTTGCTAATCATCGTTAACTTGCAAGTTCACAATTCTCAGTGCTATGTAAGAGATGATGAATCTAGGTAACATTTAATTAATTTTCTCAGATCTATAAACTGATATTTGGGGGGATTCCTGATTTTCAAGTTGTGGGACATTAATTAAAGTCATGAAGAAGTACACTGTGAGATGGTCCAAGCTTCTTCCTCACGTTCCTTTCCCCACCTTTGGCTTACATACCTGGGTCACAAATTGAACCACTCCACCAAAATACAGGCTGAAGGCATTGATCAGGTAACTGTCCCCCCTGATTTTCCATTCCTCACAGCCAAATTTTATAATAGACAAATTCTTATTTTATTTGCAGTGAACTATTTAGATGCCATATATTGGGCGTTTTAGCTCTCCAGAAAAATCTACCTGTCCAACTGGGATGCTCTGTGAAAGTTTAAATGTAGGGCTGTTACTCAGCTAAAGAAATCTGAGTCCATTAACTTCATGTGTTTTAGCTCATTAATGACATCTGCATGCAATCTGCACACATGAAAAAGCAGTAGTTCTAAAGAAAAAAAGCATGTTACAGCCTGCCTTGAAAAGTGGTTGCCTCTCTTACAGAGAGAGGTTGGATAGCCCCCTATCAAGGATGCTGTAGCCATATATTTCCTGAAGCAGGGATTAGGGCTAGATGTCTTCTGAGGTCCCTTCTGACATACCTTGCTTTCAGATTATGCAATTGCCTATGTCACAGCAAGTGTCATCTAAAAAAGGCATCCCCCTTCACATAGAAAGGAATACCTTTTTGTCATGTGGCCTTTTTAAAATAATTACTTGAACCAAAAACAATCAATCTGTTCTTAAAACCCACTCCCTATTAAGCAGAGGAATTATGTTCATTTATCAAAATGCTTTCCATTGATTAATCTAACTATTAGTCAATTAAAATACTGCATCTTAAAAAAAAATCAGGCATGGGCAATTAATTTTAAACGACTGGGCAGTTTTGAATTTACATCGATTACATTCTGAAGAATCCCATAACTCCTCCTCTGAATACTTTTACTGGGAATACTCTAACAGTAATTACAACAAGGAATCTTTTGAATTTAAGATTGCTTTTCAACTGATTTAATCCCAAAGTAGATGGAGATGTCAGAGGTACATCTTAAGTGAGTATTCCTATTTTTCCCTCAAAGTGATCACTGTCAATGGAATCTATAAAAAGCCCTATCTGAAGTGGTCGCCCCTTAGGCTTCTATTTCCTACCGGGAGCAGCTGCAGTGTGTAACTTGCTCTACTACGCACTGCTGCCAAAAGGATTCCACGACCTGAGATTTAACTCTCCCATCCCAGGACATGGGCACCAAAATTTGTCTGTAATACTCAGTAAAGTAGGAAGATCAAATCAAGGACGGCACTAGAGGAATGAATGCAAGGCCTTCAAATGCACTTGATTTCACATACTGCAGATGGATTTCTCAGTCCAAATCCAGATCATACTCTGACACGAATCAATGAGCAATAGCTAATATCTCTGGGTTCTGTAGTCCCAATCATTAACATGCATTAGAATCCCTATTATTCCCCTTTGAAAGAATGAAGGGAAGAGAATTAACCTAACATACACCAAAAACAAGAAGATTCACACTTGAGAGACTTAACATAGTCTTATCATCTGAAGCTTATGTCTCACACAGAGTTCAGCATGTACAGGATTATGCTGACACCATCCGAGCACAGTTGCATGAATGGTGTGATGTTACCTCTGAAGTAAATAATCACACACACTCCGCCCTTTAACTTTCAATCACTGTGAATCTTTCCTCACGGACTCCTAAATGGTAAGATATATACATACCCCTGACCCCTACCCAGACCCGAAGTGCTGAAAAACAGTGTGTTGCTTACAATTCCTTGAGACAGGCTCTCCACTGGAAAAATCAAACAGGTGAATTATTATTTTATAAATGGCAAGCAACATATTCCAGAAAGCAAGCCAGCAAAACATACAGAGAAAGGAGGCATAGAGGCTTCTAAGTCAGAATATTGAGAGAAAGAAAATATAACAAGGAAGAATGCTGGGGAGAAAAAACAGAAAAATAGACCAGGCAAGATATGTGGTGCAACATTGTCACTCACGTTAAGATTTTCTGCAGTGGATGCCTCTGGACTTACTTCAACGAGAGATGTCCTTCACACTCTGCACATAGGCCTCATGCTCAAAAGTGATGCTGCTGTGGGTTTTTCTGAGTTGTGAACACAGAGGTAGAGATCAGCTTTGGGTTTCCAAACCCTTAAGCTACAGGTATATATATTCCTCCTCTCTCCTGTTGACTAGGCTTGAAAGATCTTTTCTCCTCCTTTTTCTTTGTTGGTGAGTAGCTATAAATGGGAACAACTTTCACCTCCTTTGGTAATTAAGAGTTCCTTGTTTTCTTCAAGCTAACACACACCCTATTAGAAATCTTAGGGAGCAAGCATCTTTCTCGTTTATCCCAAGGAGTATTTGTTTTTCCTCTTAAACTGCTGCGGGTCCTCCTCTCTGACAGCTGTTTGATACTATCCCGTTTCCTCTGCCTGTCAAGCGTCCCCTTCCCCTTCACAATTGATATCTGACAGCAAAATGGGCTGGGGGGGGCCTGCTCCTTCTTGCTTGACTAGCGTGAGGAACTTATTTATGAAGTCGGCGGCTCCAACAGGCCAGGGGGAAATCTGCTTCGTTTCCTTGTCGGCGAGCAGGTAGGTACCGATTTGAAGTTGCAGGAGAGAATTTAAGAGGGAAGTGGTGGCTGTGGCTGTGGCGGCGGCGGCGGCGGGGGGGGGGCGGTTTAAAATAAAAATACGACGGCGCGAGAGACGAGGTCGGTCCCTGCTCCCTCCCCTCTGGCGGCCGCTACGAGCTCTCCTTCCCTTCCATTCCGCCCAGAGGGGCCTTTAAATCCTCGGTCTGAGGCCGAGGCCGGCAGAAGAACTTGCGGGAGTGGACAACTGACCCAGACGCGGGGCCTAGCTGCGCGCTGGCTGTCCTTGGCCTCTGCGGGGGAAGGAGGCGTGGGGCGGCGCGGGGGGGGGCGCTCCTCCTGGGCCTCCGCCTCCCCGAGATGATCCCCTCCGCTGCGCAGGGAGGGCTCTTTCCCCTGCGAGCCCGGGCCCAGCCGGGGAAGGGAGGGGAGGGAGCGGGAGGGCTGCGCGGGGCGGGGGTGGCGCCGCCGCCGCCGCTCGCTCCTCCTGACTCGCTTGCCACGGGAGGCCGCGGCGGCTCCTGGGCCTGGCGCTGCTGCTGCGGCTGCTGCTGCCCGGGCTGAGGCCCGCTCCCGGGGGTCTTCCCGAGCGGGGCGGCGGCTAGGCAGACCCTCCGCAGGCCCCGGCCTCGCTGCTGCTGCTGTGCTGCTGCTCCTGCCGCCTGTCGCTCGCTCCGTGTGCTCCGGGGCTGCGGCTCCACTGCAGGCCCCGGCTCCTCCCCGGCCTCCGCTCCGCCTCCCCCGGCTCCCTCCAGGCCGCGCCACCCCCGCCTCCCCGCCTTAAGGTGGCTCCTCTCGCAGGAGGCGGCGGCGGCGGCGGGGCCCCGGCAGAGGGGAAGCCAACCCGCTGCTTCCCCATCTCCCGACCGAGGCGCTTCCGTCGCCTCCTTCGCAGCCTCAAGCACCCCTTTCCCCTCACGAAAAGCGCCAACGGCCGACACCCCCCTCCACCGCGCGTGCCCCCCCGGCCAGGCGGCGGGTCGGGCTCCGGATTTGCCGCCCTCGCCCCCCCCCGGGTGTCTCCCCTCAGCTTTTCCCGCGAGTAGACTCGGCTCCCCGGTTTAAGTTTGAAACGTGCAAATGGGGGGTCGGGAGGGGGGGGAGCTGAGCCCTTGTCGTAAACGAGTAGCTCGTATTTCGGAGTTGTGCCCAGAACGGGGCAGGAAATACACCATTTCATTGTGGGCAGAGAAAACGCCGACGACGGTGCGTCTGAATGTACTTTGTAAAACCCGCCGTGTCTTTCCATAAAAAAGGGGGAGCAAAAACCACTCCCTGCAGGAGCACCTTGTGGCAAACCATAGCCAGATCTGCCGCCAGAGTCAGCTAATAGTTTAAGGGCGATTTGATGCATTTGCTTAGGCTCAAGTCAACATTTGCCCACTGCTGTTACTTTTCTGCTGAAGTTTGCGAAGGGTCGGAAACCCATTTGCAACTGATGTCAAAACTACAATCAATATTCAACCATCCCACCCCCGCTGAAGCACAAAATTTCTACTTAATTACATTTCACTTTCAAGTTAAGTTTTTAAACAAAGGCATCATTCCACAAGTTGTAATTTGTCCTTCGAGGCCTAGGACATCGTTTTTCAAACTGTGGTCTTCAAGCTTCATTCAGGTGGGCCATTGTGTATTTGCATTACATATTCATATTGACTTTCAATTTTATTTCTATTGCTCCTTTTGTTTCTTAGATGAAATTCAAATTGTAATTCAATACAGTGCTATACAATAAATAAAATCAGCAAATAAATATTCAATTAAAAATCACACAGCATCTCAGAGTGTGTTACAATTGCTTCAAGAGACAGACAAATGATTACATGGTCCACCAAGAAGACCCTCACCAATATTCAAGTGGTCTGTGGGGGCATGAGAGGGAGTTTGGGAACTGCTGATTTAGGATAGAAGTGTCAGGTGGTTAAAATAAAGAAGCAAAGCCGATACATGGGGAAAGTGAAGAACATCCCAAATTTTTGCCTGGAAGAAAATTCTCTCTGATTTAAGCACAAAATTCATTTCAACAATTTAGCACAGACAAGAAGACCAGCAGGCGATAGCTGGAGACGCAGCAAGAGTGTACTCTCTAATTTTTTATGCCTAACCCTCCATGCACCCGTTTTGTTATGCCACCACATGACCATGGCAGCCATTTTGTAACTGATGCCCACAGCAGCCTCTCAAAATTCAAAAAGTGCCCACTGGTCCAAAAAGGTTGTTGACTCCTACTTTACAGTTACTTCTGCAAAACTGAAAAGTGCTCAGCAGGATGCTAAAGAGTCCCAGAGGATTTGGGATGAGCAGAAACTTAGTTTGGGGTTCCCATCCCATGTCCCCCCCATACCTATAGATAGTTGTGGACCTGAGTGCAGCGCCACTTGGAACACCTTATCACAAAACAAAAAAGGTAAAAGGTAAAGGTACCCCTGCCCGTACGGGCCAGTCTTGACAGACTCTAGGGTTGTGCGCCCATCTCACTCAAGAGGCCGGGGGCCAGCGCTGTCCGAAGACACTTCCGGGTCACGTGGCCAGCGTGACAAAGCTGCATCTGGCGAGCCAGCGCAGCACACGGAAACACCGTTTACCTTCCCGCCAGTAAGCGGTCCCTATTTATCTACTTGCACCCGGAGGTGCTTTCGAACTGCTAGGTTGGCAGGCGCTGGGACCGAACGACGGGAGCGCACCCCGCCGCGGGGATTCGAACCGCCGACCTTTCGATCGGCAAGTCCTAGGCGCTGAGGCTTTTACCCACAGCGCCACCCGCGTCCCTTCACAAAACAAAACTTTAGGCCAAAAGTGATGTTAGGGTGTCTGATGAGACTGTCTCCTTGTGGTATCTTTTATTTAGGATAGCAGCCCAATGCTTATTTTGAGATGAATAATCTCCAAATGCTGATTCAAAAATATGTTGGAGGTAATTGGTATGTTTAACCCAAGGCTGAATGGGATTTATCTGGGGACATAGAAAATTGTTGCTGTTTTTTCATTCAGACTGTTGGGCAACGGGGAGCTGGGGGAGCTAGTACTGTAACCAGCTTCAGCCTTGTACAGCCACAGGTAGGATTTAGGAATGATCTGAAGGGTTGTTTTAGATCAGGCTTCCTCAACCGTGTCCCGCAGATGTTTTTTTGGCCTACAACTCCCATGATCCCTAGCCAGCAGGACCAGTGGTCAGGGATGATGGGAATTGTAGTCTCAAAACTACAAGGAGGGCCGAGGTTGAGGAAGCCTGTTTTAGATCATACAGGAGCAATAATAGGCATTGAACCTTCTACAACATAACTGAGTAGTAAGTAAGAATCCCTGAAGGTTTGAAAGCCGCTGCCTCCTAATGCCAAGTGGAAACAGGTGACCTCCTTGGCACACAAGGGGCTGCTCCAAACCAGCAGCAACATGAGTGGCAGGGGGTAGGGTGGCCTGTGCCACAAGAACTCCTGAGGTGGGGTGGGATTCCACCCCCGTTCTTCCCCTGTTGGTCTTGCTAGCAAGGCTTCTTTGAGAGGGGAGGGGAATCCTTCAAAGATGAATCTCTGGTTGTGCCAGTACTTCAAGCACCGCATTCTGCTGCACGTGTGAACAAGGTTATAGAGAGGAAACCGGCGCAGAACAAAGGAGAAAAATGGCAGGGTCGGTGGTGTGTATTGTAAGAGCTGAGTAGGCCAAGGCCAGCTAAGAGTTGCTGCAAGCAGGCAATGACGCACTTTGCACAACGGCAAGGTTGGAGCTGAGTGGGAAGGGAGGCATCGATGTCTCGATGCGCAGCAATATTCCGTGGCAGGGAGCGGGCCGGGCTCCAGAGGCGAGCACCTGTTGCGATCCGCAGGCCGGCCAGTATTTATTTTTCCCGGAACAATGAGGACTAGGCGCGCCCTTTTGGAGACGCCACGGAACACCCGGCCGCTTCGCCCCAGCACTGACGCCGCCCCTGAATGGCGGAGGGCCGGGTGCTCCGAGCAGGGCGGCGGGCGCGCGAGGCCACCTTAAGAGGACGGCGGAGTCGGCGCGGCGGCGCGCAGGCGGCTCCTCCCAGCCCCGTGTCGGAGGCAGCCGAGGAACGTGTCCCGCCTCGGCCGCGGGGGAGACGCGCGCCCGCCCGCCCGCTGCGCCCTCGCCAAATGGCCGGCGGGGGGGACGCCGAGGAACCCGCGGGGAGGGAGGGAGGGAGGGGGAGGCGGCTGCAGGAGCGGGAATGGCTCGCCTGCCCCGGGGAGGAGGGGGCCGGCGGAAGGGGGGCGCCCCTCGGGACAGCCCGGCAAAGCTGGGTCTGCCCCTCAGCTGGCGGGGCGGGAGCCGCGTTGGCCGCGCAACGCCCCTTGCCCGGAGCCAGTCCCGGAGGCCAGGTGAGGCGAGCGCCTCAGGCGGCGGCGGCAGCGCTTTCTTGCGCCCTGCTTCCCCGTGGCCGAGGGGGGCACCATCAAAAGCCTGGCCCGGCTCCATTTCTTGTGGGTCTGGTGCCAGCAGAATTTTGAGGCCGTTTAGGCACACTTTTACAAGAAAGATGCACTTCAATGGGTTGCCCAGGGCACTACAGTGGTACCTCAAGTTAAGTACTTAATTCGTTCCGGAGGTCCGTACTTAACCTGAAACTGATCTTAACCTGAAGCACCACTTTAGCTAGTGGGGCCTCCTGCTGCTGCCGTGCTGCTGGAGCACAATTTCTGTTCTCATCCTGAAGCAAAGTTCTTAACCTGAAGCAATATTTCTGGGTTAGCGGAGTCTGTAACCTGAAGCGTATGTAACCCGAGGTACCACTGTACTTTAGTTGTGCACCAGAGGGGTCTCAACCTGGGTTTGAAAGTATAATTGTCTTTGCTGTATTCATGTACATCTGCTCTATGTGGGGGGCTTTCCTTGTTGCGTGATCCAGAAGCTGCAGTCAGTGCAGGATGCTGCAGCACAATTGCTGACAGGAGTGAGGCCTTGTTGGCATGTGACACCTGTGCTCAGAGATCTGCACCAGTTGTCGATTTGCTACTGGGCCAGGGTCAAGGTATAGGAGGCCCTTAACAACTTGGGACCAGTATCCCTACAAGATCGCCTTACCCACTCAGCTGCTTCGGTCAGCGGAATTGGTACCGCTACAGGTGCCACATAATACCTGTCGCGCATTTGTAATAATTTGATCATTTAGTGTGGCAGCACCTACACTTTGGAACCCCCTGGCTGTTGAGATCAAGTAGGTGCCTTCACAATACTTTTTTCGGCGCCTGCTAAAAACATTTTCGTTCATAGAAGCCTACCCAGATGTTTAGAAAATTCGGATAATTTTAACATCTGTAAGATTTAAAGTATGGTTGTTACTGTAGTTTTTCTTGAAACTCCTAGTCACACAGGG